ATCGAACCTTAAAAATCGAAATATCTCAAAAACCGCTAACTATAACGAAAACTCACAGGAGAGATTTTTTATGCAGAAAAGTGCGAAGAATCAGTTTTTTTATTCAAAAATCAAAAACTTGCACTAAGAAAAAATGTTCGGTCATTTTAATACACTACAGGTACAGTAGAGAGCGCCCTCTAGCTGCTACAGTAAAACTATGCCCATGGTTCGTTTTGTCGTACCAAAAAACCCTCGTATTCCAATTTTCACTGTTATACATCACATATTGTTCGAAATATTTAAAAAAAACTTTTTTCGAAAGTAAATTTAAACACCCTGTATTTCGGAAGCCACGCATCTTTCGACCCATGTTTACATAGACTTTATGCATTAATTTTAAAAGTTCTATCGAATCTTAAAGTTATGCAACAATAAACTGAAACAATCAAATATCTGACGAACGACTCATCTAATTTTTCTAAAAATTGGTAGATTTAGGTTGGAAACGACGGCGGATCCGTTGATGATATCCGCGATGTTGCCACATTTCAGAAACTGATAAGAACTTTTCTGTTTCTTATGGAATGCCATACATTGTATTTGATATTTGTATTCAGCGAGAAATTCTGAATACTTTTTGTTAAACATATTTTGACGTAGTACTCTGAAAATGCAAAAATCTATCGAGAACTGTCGTGCTATGCAGTCTTCGATTACAAATCTGCATGTACACTGTTTATGGATCTGAAATGAGATAAACGTTACTTCGACCCAAATAGCTCTACTCTGTTCGTCTTTTGAGGAAACAATGTAAGACACATGACCTTGAAATAGCGAAGTAAAACGTCGGCGGATTTGAGATCCAACAACAACTCACAAGACAAAACTCAGGCTCTATAAGTTTTATTTTACATGATAGATGCACTTTATCGATTTAATACGTAACAATTTTGCATGTCCTATCCGCAAAACACCTAGCGCGCTTATGCGACGCCATTAATTTTTTTCTGCGACGTCGGTGGGAGCGCCGGCAGATGAAGAAATCACATTTTCCACTCGAGATGCCTCCTTTCCGACCCTCTTTCTACCACCCCCCGCACGCCCGCATCCCTTTAGACCACTCACAACCCTTACACGCAGTCTTAACTGCATGATGCAAGGAGATGCATTGCACCCTTACTCCTTTCAGGTGGTTAGGAGGCTTTTATAGACCAGCAGACTAAGAAAAAATTGGATTTTAACCATAAAATATTATATTCAGATGCACTTCGAGTCATATTCGGCGTCAAAACTTAAGGATCCCTTAACGACTTTCCTAAGGAGACCTTAAAAGCCCTCTTGGGGTTCCTCAGATTATCCTTTGATAGCTCCTAAAGCCATAAAAGCCCTCTTGGGGTTCCTCAAATCATCCTTTGATAGCCCCCAAAAAACTGACTTGAGGATTCCTCAAAGTCATTTTTAAGAGTATATTAAACTACTGATTAAGGGTCCCTCAGACTTGTAACGCATCTCTTAAGGTACATAAAGCCTCCTTTCAGAGGTTTTTAGAGTGGTTTTCAAAGGTCTCTCAAACACCCTTTAAGAGCTTATTGAAGCTCCTCTTAAGTATCCCTTAAAATCTAGTTGAATAGCTTAAGGGCTACGTTGAATCCTTTTAAAGGATCCTTTAAAGTTTATACTTAGAAAAAGGTTATATTTGAATGCACTTGTATATATTCAGCATCCTTAAAAGCCCTATTGGGGTCCCTCAACTTATCCGTTGATAGCGTCTAAAAAACTGACTAGGGCATTCCCTTAAGTCATTTTTAAGAGTCCCTTAAACTACTTATTAAGGGTCCGTCAAAGAAAAAATTCAAGAATTAAGGCTTGTGATGCCTCTCTTAATGTACCTCAAGCTCCTATTGAGGGATTTTTAGGGTCTTCCTCAAAGGTCTCTTGAACCGCATTTAAAAGCTCATTGAAGTTAATCTTAGGTACCTAAAAGAGCTTTTTGATTAGTTTATCGCCTCTTTTAGGATTCGTTGAACCTTTTTTAAGGATCCTTTAAGGCTGATGCTAAGAAAAAAGTGGGATTTTACCCTCAAAATGTTATATTTGGATAAATCTGAAGTTACATTCAGTATCGAAACTTGAGGATCCCTTAATGACTTTCTTAAGGAATCCTTAAAAGCCCTCTTGGAGTCTCTCAAACCATCCTTTGATAGGCCCTAAAGAACTGACTTGAGGATTCTTTAAATTCATTTTTAAGCGGCCCTTAAACAACCTACTAAGGGATCCTCAAAGAATCCTTGGAAAATTAAGATTTGTCTTAAGGTACTTCAAGTCTCTATTAAGGGATTCTTAGGCTCTTTTCCAAAGGTTCCCTGTACTCCCCTTTAGAGCTCTTCTACATTCTTAGACATCCCTTAAAGTTTTCTTGAATGGTTTAACGCCTCTTTGAGGGATCCCTTAAACCTATTTCTAAGGGTTCCTTAAAGCTTATGCTATGGTTACCGTAGGAGTTTCCCAAGGGTAGTACAAATTTTACCAAAGTGTTCCTCAAAGTTATTGTTAGTCTTCCCTCAAAAGTTGCCTTCAAAGCTTCTCTTACGGATGCCTTAAAGCATCTGTTAAACGTATTTTAAGCAAGCAACAAGGGTCCCGTAGGGCGCCCTCTATAATTTCCTTGAAAGCCTTCTCAAAGCACTTAAGGGTTCCTTAAAAACTCTCTCAAAGGTCTCTAAAATATCTCTTAATGGTTGACTAAAGCTTTTCACCAGATTCCCTTAGACCTATCTCGAGGGTCCCTCAAGACCTTTTACAATTTCTCTCAAGCATCCCTTAAAAAAGACTCCACGGGCTTCAAGGGATACTTAAGAAAGGCTTTAAGAGAGCTTTGAACGACACCTAAAGGACTATTACGGTTGACACAAGTAACCCTTGATCTTAAGAGTGGTTTTAAAATACCCTTAAGAAATATCTTTTTGAAGGATCCTTTAAAGCTTATGTTAAGATTACTGTGGGCCTCTCTTAAGGATGGTACAAGGTTCCTTTAGAGTGTCCCTTGAATCTTCTGAATGGATGATTAAAGCCTCTCCAGGGTGCCTTTAGGCCTATTTCGAGGGTCCCTCAAGATCTTTTTCCACGACCATCCTCAATTGTCCCTTAAGTGCCCTTAAGAGCGCTTTAAGGAACACTTAAGGAAGTGAGCTTTGAGAGATACCTAAAGTACTCTTATAATAGACTTTGAGGAAAGCCTTGATCTTGTAGGAAATATCTTAAGGAGCACATAAAATCGCTTTCAAGGGTGAAAGTTGACCTGCCTATGACGTACGGATTCACACAGCGTTCACAAACCTTCAGTTCTTTTCAGCTGGGAGAGTTTCGGAGCAAGGAAAATGCTCGGGATTCTTATGAGAAATTTATTCATAATATGCAGGCTGCATTTTAAACAGAAAATCTTATAAATGCGGAGAGATAGAGCGCCAAAGCGACATCTTCTCTAGCGCTCAAGTGTTGTCTCTGGCGTTGGCTGTAGAGATGGAGTATGGATTTATCTTTTGATGTATTCTAGAAAAGGGGCGGAAGGTATTGATTGCATGATCTGGGACAGAACTACTGTAAAAGGAAGTCTTGATGTTAAGGAGTATGCAAGGCAAAAACCAGGCCTTAGATAATAATATTTTATTTTCGTTGGGCAAACAAAGTTTGTATAAGAATCGTCAATAAAGCACGCTGCTATACCCAGCTGATTTTCAGACAGAAACAAACTTAAGATTTTAAACAAATAAGAGAGAGTTGAGTTGCGATACCGGGTAGTTGCAATTTACCCTGAAATTGAAATTATCGTCTAGAAATATTCCCAAGAACTTAACAGCAGTTGTGAATAAAATGTTTAACGTCAAGGATATTTATCTTTTCTTGTGGACTGTGAAGCCTAATTAAATCAATGTCATCTTCTTCCGGAAGAACTAGGTATACTTGACAATTCTCCTGTCACTTCATGTGTCACAGCTGTCAAGTTAAGGAACAACTGTGTTTACGGTCCTCAAGTACCTTCGCAGATTGGATTAGTTTGAATTTTGATACAAACTTTTACGCTTGCTCCAAGTGGTTGTAGTTTCGGACCGCATAAATGTTTTACACAGTGGCCATCTTATCCGGGATACAGGACGTTCTACATCGCGTCAAATAAAAATCCAATAAATTAGGATAGCGACAATAAAAGCACACTCTTCTTTTACGTACCGAATTAACTATAAAAATCTTCATCGCAAAAATAGACGTAAATCCAACGCAGGGGATCGTGTGTTGTCGACCCATAACCGCAAGAATATAATAAACATGAAAATGTTTAGGGAGGTTTCTTTTTAAAAGTCATTCGCGTCCCTCGCGTCAGATTATAAAACGTCTAATAAAAGAGACACCTTCATACACAATAAAAAATATCGTTTCGCAGATATATTACCTGCTTGGCATTTGTCGTGTCTTTATAGCGCGTCGTATAACGCGTATGAGGGATGAGATTGTAGCGGCTGTGTCTAAAGAAATGGGGAAGTCAAGTAAAGAAAAAACAAGAGTAGGCGTAATAAACATGCTGCTTATTGACATCTGTTTTGTGCTATTTGGAGACCAAGCTGATGAGTTGACAAATAACATGTCTGTTGCCGGATGGATTAAAGCAGAATGTTTAGTTGTTCAATGGCGAGTAGACGTCTACCTAAACGCCAGAATCGTCAGCCTATAGCGGTCATAGCGGCGACCCGGCTATAAAACGCGAACTGAGATCTCTACAGTCCCTCAAAATAGCTTAAGTGGTTGATTCTGGTGTTAGATGGCGCCTTGTGCTTATTTCAAGGGTAGAAGAGTTTGAGACAATGTGGTGTTTCAGTTTCAGTGGCATCTCAGCATTATCGAATCTGAAGGATCCGAACTGGAATAGGCCTCACTCATAGGAAATGCATGTATAGCTATTGCTATTAACAGAGCACAAAAGAAAATTTCGAAATTCATAGTTTTTAAAATCGAAGAGGTTGTAGTTATCCTGAGCTGTCAATCTTTGGAAAAGCGTAGATATCAGTTATCTGTACTATTCTTGCATAATGGGAAAATCGATTGTCCAGTATTGTTAGCTCAGGTAGATATTCAGCTTCCTAGAATAATATCTAAGCATTTTAATAATTTCCTCTTCAAGAGGAGGCGTCGACTAATTTTCTCTGCCGAAGTGGTAACAACATTTCAAGAGTATATGAAATTTCTCACTTTAGTTTTTGTCAATTGAAGAATATAGGTTGATTCTCACTATACATTCCGTTTCCATTCCGTAACCGTTCCGTATGTTATTGAAATTAAATATTCGCCTTCACTTAAAGCAGGCTAAAAAAAAAAATGCTCAAACTTCGTAGTTTGACGTTAAAGAGGATCCTAATCATAGGAGAGATTCACTACCTAGGTCAGGGGAAGAATGTCTATGGACTGATCGTATGGACCTTTTTGACTGACTTTTTTCTCAGAGATTCTAGTTTGTGCTGAATACATTCCTTTATGTACTGATAAGGGTCACAGTCAGAGTCAACCTCCTTTACACCAATGGAAAGCCCTATTTTTGACACCGACAAGCAAGAGAACGGAAAATGAAGAGAAGTGTAGTAGTTTCATTGATGACCAAAATCAAGATCAGACCATTAGTATCTTTTAACAGGGATTTCGATATTGATCTCGGCCATGACTTTGAGCATCACCTTGAAGGTCATAATAGAACATAAGAACGTGAAATTATCCTTAGCTCAAAAAAATGACATTGAAATGACTCAAGTTACCATTGAAAGTCTTAAAAGCAACTGAAAGCATATCCTAAATGTATGTTTTCATCAATACTCCTACTAAACTGAGCATTTTCCCTAACCTCACACACTTCACCATAATTTGACCTTTATGGGTGACCTTGATCGTAGACTTTGACGATCCGCATTCGGACGTATAAAGGTTGATTCTCACTATACATTCCGTAACCGTTCCCTAAGTTATTGAAATTAAATATTCGCCTTCGCTTAAAGCAGGTTATTGCAACTGTATCCACATTATCCGTAAGGTATACTGTGTATACAATCACAATGTACGGAACGTTTACGAAACTGATATGTTTTGTTTATGGTACTTCTTCTGTTTTTTTTTTTTTTTTTTTATATATCGAAACAGCCGCGCAGGCAGAAGCCTAAATGCCGGAACACCGCGGCTGCTATGATGATCCCAAAGAAATTTTGTTAATACGATTTTTGAACTGCCTAAGGTTAGTAGAACTGGGAAAAGCTTCCTCCCGTAGTTTGTTCCACAATCTAGACACCCTCGGGACAAAGGAGCGGTCGTATCGGCCAGTTCTGGATGTACGAAGTTTGACACGGTTAGGATGGGACGCCGAAGTCAGGCGGGTCTGTCTGGCAGGCACATCGCGCGGCGGCATCATGGAAGAGAGCTCTGAGGAACAAAGCCCGTTGGTGTAGCGATAGAAAAGAGATAGATCGCCGACGGCCCGCCGGTGCGAAAGAGTCCCGAGACTGTCTGTTAGAGAAGAGTCATCGATCAGTCGGACCGCCCTCCTCTGGACAGCATCGAGCACGGACAATGTAGTCGGGGCGGCAGCACCCCAAATGTGTGAGCAATACTCGAGGCTAGGCCTTATCTAAGCCTTGTATAGAGTGAGAAGGTCATGCGGAGAAAAGTACTTCTTAGCCCTAAACAAATAGCCTAGCTTTTTCCCAGCAGCTGCAGCTATTGAAGAGATGTGTTCGTGCCAGATCAGGTCCTCGGTGATCTGGACTCCGACCAGCCGAAAAGAATGGCTCTTTGGTAGAACTCGACCGTCCATCGAAACTGTATGAGCGCTAGGACGCTTTTTGTTCGTCAAAGTACAGTACTGTGTTTTGGAAGCATTGAACTGTACAAAATTGTTGCGTCCCCAAGCAGTGATAGCCTCCAGGTCTCTTGTCAGAGAAGAAGTCGTCGCTAGTCTTCTTTTTTCCAGCTCAGCGGCAGAGATCGGCTTGTCACTCTGAATTCCTGCATGTAGAGTGCTGTCATCAGCGAAGCTGTGGATTGGGTTGATCGTGCAGGAAAGGAGGTCGTTGATATGTAAGAGAAACAGTGTTGGAGCCAAGACCGATCCCTGGGGAACACCCGCGTTGACGTTGTGGGATGAAGAGGAGAATCCGTCAATTACGACGGATATCTTGCGGCCAGAGATAAAGTCAGCCACCCATCTGCAAAGCTTTTCTGGGAGGCCGTAGGATGGAAGTTTGCTCAAGAGGGCAGCGTGCCACAGCTTTCGTGATGTCAAGAGCAACGACATGAGCCTCACCATGAGACTGGATGAGTTTACTCCACAGTTGCGTGACGTAAGCTAGGAGGTCCCCTGTGGATCGTTGGTGCCGGAAACTGTACTGCCTGTCGCTAATCAAGCTGTGACGTTCGAGGTAGTCCAGAAGCTCGCGATTTATGCACCTCTCCATCACTTTACTTATAACAGAAAGCAGAGCTATAGGCCTGTAGTTGTAAGGGTCGGTTTTAGATCCTTTTTTTGGGATGGGCTGTACATGAGCAAATTTCCAGTTTTCTGGGAAGGTGCCGGATTCATAAGATATCTGGAAGAGACGCGAAAGAACTGGAGCAAGCTCAGCTGCACATCTCTTCAGTACAATGGCAGGAATCAAGTCCGGACCAGAAGCTTTGTTGATGTCGAGCGACAAGAGCACTCGTCTTACGGTCTTATGCCTGAATGTTACCTCCCGCATAGTGTGGGGTACCCTTTGAATTGACGGCACTTGGGCGTTGGTGGAGACGTCCATGGTGGAGTTGGCAGCAAAGATCTTGGCTAGCACTTCCGCCTTGGCCTTTGAGTCGAATACAATAGTTCCATCCTGACACGTAAGTGGTGGAAGGCTACTGTGTGAGAAGTTCTTTTCAATCTGCTTGGCCAGCGTCCAGAAAGACCGACTGCCATTGCGCTGCGACATTACCCTGTGCCTAACTTTTATATCATGCTGGGTTTTGGCATTGCGAACGGCTTCGTTATATTTGTTTCTGGACTCGACGTCGGCTTGTCTGTTCTCTACAGTGGGGTTTTGTAAGTAGGTTCTGTGGGCCTTGATCTTCTGCTGGCGAGCAGTGTCACACGATTTGTTGAACCAGCCGTTGGACCCTGGTTTAGGAACTTTCGCTGTGTGAGGGATGTATTCCTCCATTCCGACGTGGATAATTTCGGTTATTGAAGAACAGACAGTCGACGCATCCGCGTCAGTGAAACAGACATCTCTCCAAGGAAAGCTAGAGAAGAAGTCTCTGAGCCCCTCCCAGTCGGCATGTCCGTAATGCCAAGTTTTGCGGAATGTGCGAGTTTCTGCTGCCACAGCGGCTTCTGACCGAAACCTAACCTCCACAACACCGTGATCTGAGTTACCCAGGGGGGACAGGACAGCAGTGCTGTAAGGGGCAGGATGCGTGGTCAGAAAGAGATCCAGCAGGCTACTGGCGTGTGACGAGACGCGGGGGAAAAAAGTAGGGCTCGTCACCAGCTGGGTCAGCCCTTGAGTAAGAGCGAACGCTTCGACTGCACGACCTGCTGCATCGGTCTTATTTGAGCCCAACCAAAGCTCATTATGGGCATTGAAATCACCGAGAAGAACTACCTCTGAAGCGGGGTGATTGATGTTCAGGAAGTCGATCTGGACGGCGAGGTACTCGAGTAGATCATCCCAGTTATGGTTCGAGGGAGAGCGATAAAGGCAGCAAATAAATTTGGGAGATGTTTTGGAGTTGAGGCGAAGCCACAGAATGTCCTTCCAGTCTGATTCCAAAGAAAGATCCCTGGAGCAGGAAAGACTGCTGCGGACAAAAGCCACAACTCCCCCGTTCTTTCTCAGATTGGAGTGCACCTCGTAGTTTGGGAAGTTGAGATGGTTAATCGGTGCAGCCTCTGAGATTTTTGTCTCCGCCAAGAAAAGCACGGCGGGACGATTGGATTGCAGGTAGTGATGAACAGCATCAATGTTGCTGTTGATCCCGCAGATGTTGGAAAAACAAATTTTATCTTCGATGTTGTTCCCTCTGTGTTCTTTTTTTGTTTTCATTTTTTGCTGTAACTGTCATGTAAGTTATACTACTGCTGTTTGCTCTAGAAATGGTATTTACTGTTGAGCAATAAATGCATTTTTATTATTATCATTATTGTTGTTATTATTTTTATTATTATTTAGAGGATTTGATGCTGTCTACTTCAAACTTTCCCTTAGCGATGTCACTGAACCGCTAAAGTTGCCAAAAATGGCATTGATCCTCTACACCAGAGTTCCCCAAACTTTTTTGTGTCGTAGACCCCTTGCCTGTTGCCTGTTTTTCCGTGTTGGGTAAACCCCCTACTTACCTGATATTGATTTCCTGTAAATTTCTAACTGTATTGAAGTTTAGTGTTAAAAACTTAAAGTAAAAACACATGTTAATTTATACATTTATTAATTGAATTTAAATTAAAACTACTCAAAATAAAATTTTGTATCTGTTATGTAAAATATGCGTAACATTAAATAAACAGGTGTCTGACCAATAAGTGCCCGCATTGGGAATAAGTGCCCGCATTGAAAAAAAAATAAGAGGGATAAAATAAAAAAAAGTGAAAAATAATAAAAAAAAAGTTTTTTACTTAAAATAGTACAATAAGCGAGCTCGTTTATTAATTATAACATAAACGTATATTCTACAATAATTTCACTGTTGGTTTGATTAAATTCCGCTTCTTATACGCTTAAGTTATCTAAAAATAGGCAAAAAATTAACGAATTTTAGTGTGTACCTATCCTTGAATTTTCAGAATAATTAAAAAAAAATATTTTCTATAAAGAGGGGTTCTTTAAAAAAATCAATGCGGGCATTTATTGGTCGGACACCAATAAACATAAAATAAACTATAAATAAAATAACATAAGCAATAAGTCAATATTATTAGTGAGAAGGATGAATAAATTATCAACATTTGGCGTCAAATTTGTTAGGGTTTATCCTAAATCTCCTCGGCTAATGATAATGATTCTGTTTCTTTTTTTCATTAGGAGATTGGTAACAGCGCTGAACCCCCTTTCCACTAGGTATGACGATGGAAAGGAAATTAAAAATTTCCTCGCTATATTCCATAATACGGGATAAGTAACGGATATGTTGTTTTGCAGCCAGAATTGCTGATATCCGTTTTTAAACTGAACCTTAAGTTCTTCGTTTGTACTTAATTCAGTCAGTTCCTCTTGTATTATGACATTCGTTTCTTCTATGTCACCATATGGTTTAATTATCCACGGTGGTATTACCGTAGTCAAAATATCCTCAAACCTAGATTCAAAATCTGAATAGAGGGCATTTAAATGTTGAACGTAAGTTGAAACGTCGTCTTCCTGGCAGCTTGTCTGTGACAAATTGGGGAACTGAGAAAATTCGCCCCGTCCAATATTTTGCTTCATTAGTTTAACTCTGGCAAGAAACGCTGATAAGATGGACTTTGTTTTAATCAAATTTAAACTGGCGCCTTGTAATTGCAAATTAAGCATATTAAATTTTGTAAACAAATCTGTTAAATAGGCGATGTCTGTTTTCCTCTTCATTAAATTTTCTTTTAAAATTTTATCTTTAGTATCCAGATATTCTAAAATAGTCTAAAAAAGTAGAAAAAATCTTTTCAAACATAAGCCTTTCGACAGCCAGAGTACTTCAGTGTAAAGGAGTAATTGATGAAAGTGTTCGTCATTTTCTTCACACAACTGCGCAAATAACCGCGTATTCAACGCGTTGCTTCGGATTCGGTTTACTGCATCAATGACTAAATGAAGTGATTCATGCAATCTAACACTTAAATGTTTAGCAACTAGATGTTGTCGATGGATGACGCAATGTATTGCTAACACCCCTGACATATTTTGTTTTAAATAGCTTATAAATCCACGATAACGTCCAACCATGGCAGGTGCTCCATCTGTAGCTACTGATATTATATTTGATAAAGGAGTTGCTTTTTCAATGAAGTAATCCTTCAAAACATGAAATATTGATTCACCTTTAGTGTCGGTTATCAAAGTTCTTGCGAAGAGCAGTTCTTCGTAGATTTCTTGATTCATAATAAAACGAACATATGCCAATAATAATGCTGCATTGTCAGGTAAAGTTGACTCGTCCAGTTGTATAGAGAAATGGGTCGTTTGCAAATAACTACATAAGAATCTTTGAATATCAGAACTCAATTCATCAATACGTCTTTCAACAGTATTGTTGCTTAAGGGAATTCTTTTAATGATATGAGATGCAGGTTTGTGTAAAACAGTTTTTAAAACCTCTTCAACGGCTGGCAAAATTAACTTATCTCCGATAGTATGCGGTTTTCCGGATTTTGTTATAAGTAACGAGATATTGTAAGACGCCCGCAAACCATCATCATTTCTTTGTGACGTCGAAGCGAACATTCTGTCCAGTGTAGGTCTCTTCTGAAATTTATCTTTGAGTGTTTGAAAGTATTTCAAATCTTTCTCTGTTTTATCAGGGTGGCATCTTCTCAGATGATCTTGCAGTTTAGATGGTTTCATAGCGTCATTGCTCAAAACTTTGTTGCATAAAAGGCACATAGGCGATTGTTTGTCCGGCAACGATGGAATGAAGCCAAATTTCAAATAATCAACACTGTACTGTCTACATTTCTTTTTAGATTCGGACATAGCATCAGTCATCTGTGGGCAAAATTAAATTATTTAAATAAGACAGAAAATCGTTTGATTTGTTGTTAATTTTAAATTAAAAGGTATTTTTATGATCTCATTGTATTATTGAAGATAGAAATTGTATTACTTGGGGCAAGACTCGGACATGTCCAAATTTTCAAAAATTTCCATAGCCTTTGTTTTTTGAAAAGAAGTCTTAAAATCTGAGTAGTAGTGTCCATAAGAACTATGAATATACATAAAAAATTACTCTGATCAATAATAACCTTACTGTGTTATACTGTGCAGTTTTTTTTAAATTTCTCAACAATTCTGTAATAGGGACTTGTTCGGTTTTTGCTTCAAGGTGGTCAATTATTCTACGATTTGGTTGAACATGCTTGACTATACCATGACGTAGAGCCGCGCATTGCATAAACGGTCAATTTTACGATACTTTTGTTGCTTTATGAATCACCCTGTATATCATTGCTTCTCATGAGCACCAAACGCTAGCAAAGTAACAATTAGAACGTTCTATGTATACAAAATCCACACACACTGGTTTCTTATGCCCTCCACCTGCCGACGTACTGTGCATTGTGCCAGTTTCTTTGAACCACCATGGGAACTTAATACCCTTAATCAACATTAGATTTCAGTTATTGTCAATGGTAAGGGCTACTTGGATTTGAAAGCGATCAAGGAAACCTTACGGTGGCGCATCTTTTAGGTAGACAGCTTGGAGTTAAATGGAAGATACTGATATTCTCGTGAGAACGATTTGGGTGCTTTTGGGTATATCGAGTTTTTCAATTTAACGGAAATACTTGTGGATGAGTGGGACAGAAGATACAGGAAATACTCAAATGAGGTTCATGAAAAATCCAAATCGAGGACTTTCAATATTGCATTTTACTTACTAAAATCATATGGAGATTGAGCACATATAAATAAATGATAAAATAAGCTAAATAGAAATAACAGAATATTCTTGATGTATACTGTATATATTTATTCAAAAGTAAATATACGTCTTCAATCACAAGATGATAATAATTGAAAATTTTGGAATTTGCTAAGCTGCGTGACCTTACGAAAAAACGCAGGAAGATTGAAGTATTCCATGATTTTGTATTTATGATCAATTCTATCGATCTACAACCAAAGAATGAAATCAATATCCTTGTTAAATCTTTGCTGAATAATGCCGATGCCACCTCTAAATCTTTACGTTGGAAACTACAATAAATTGCAGTATCATGCGATGCGCCATTTTTGAGTAAAAAAATAAAAACCGTTCTATTGTCTAACTTGCAAAATTATTATTAATTTGATTGGAAAAATTAAATACATTAGGGGTAATGAACAACAACAATCGACAACATAAACATGACATTAAAACCAACGAAATGATTACAAAAGTTGTTGAAAATGACCCCCTTCTCTTAGTATGCACGCTTCCACCCTCCTCGCGCACTCATTCAAATATCCCTGGAGTATTTTTTATTCTATCACAAGCGGCAACTATTATTTCTCTTCCTCTACGGTGTTAATGAGACTTGTGTACACTGGTGTCTTAAGATGTCTCCACAAAAAGAAAATCTAAGCTGTTGAGGTCTTGGGACCTTGGTGGCCATTCTTGGGGCCCACCGCGGCCAATCCAACGATTTGGATAAACAGTTTGTAAATAATTACATGGCTTGCTGAAATTCCCAAGGCACCAGAAACTCTCCTAACACTTGTAGTCGAATCTCTATCAAACTCACGCAGAATCATACGGGTAAATCTGCGCTGACGAACATTTATGTTTTGATCTCTTTGGAGATTTCCAAAACCATTTTCAATTATTTGGCGATGCACTCTTACAAATACTGAGCGAGTTGGATGTCGTCTGTTTGGAAATCTTCGTGCGTATTCTCTGGCTGCTTCTGCTGCGTTTCCATTTACAAAGCCATACACAAAATGAATATCCGCTAACTCTTGATTGGAGAATAAAAATGGCATTTTTATAGAACTTACAAAAAAACAAATTTCGTGCATTCACAATTGCAAAAAAACGTTTCAAGTTTCAACAGACAACAAAACTAACTGTCAACTAATTGAAGTTTAACCTTATTCTGCTTTCAATTTCAAAAATATTTGCAGGCACAGCCTACTTCTAAAAATTATGGAGATACTGACTTTTTAACGTTATTTTATCATAAATAATTAAAAATGCATCGAACTTTAGAAATCGAAATATCTCAAAAACGGCTAACTATAACGAAAACTCGCAGGAGAGCTTTTTTATGTTGAAAAGTGCGAAGAATCAGTTTTTTTATTCAAAAAGCAAAAAATTGCACTAAGAAAAATTTTTCGGTCATTTTAATACACTACAAGTACAGTAGAGAGCGCCCTCTAGCGGCTACAGTAAAACTATGCCCATGGTTCGTTTTGTCGTACCAAGAAACCCTTGTATACCAATTTTCACTGTTATACATCAAATCTTGTTCGAAATATTTAAAAAAAAACTATTTTAGAAAGTAAATTTAAACACCCTGTATTTCGGAAGTCACGCATTTTTCGACCCATGTTTATATAGACTTTATGCATTAATTTTAAAAGTTCTATCGAATCTTAAAGTTATGCAACAATAAACTGAAACACCCTGTATATACAAAGTCCATTCGTACAGAATTGCGTGGTAGTACAACAGATCAACCCACTTGAGGCTATTTCTCCGGGTCGGACGGACTTATCAGCCTCTCCGACTTTCAAATGTTTGCATACCTGCGTGCGTAGCACGCGCTATGCGCGCCTCCTTACCTGAACGCGCGCTCGCGTTTCCCCGCTACGCACGAGACAATCAACAGTTGTGCCGTTCCGTCAACGACGGCGATGCATCCGAGGCACGCTACGACCGCAGGTGCCGACAGAAACGCCGTTGCAGTCGACCCTCTCCACGCAAAGCACTAAACCCTCCCTCTTTCCTTGCAGGTATTGACATGGGCCGCAATCCTTGAAGTGGGGACCGAGCTCTAGAGAGGGGGACCAATAATATGTCATCGGAAGACGAGACTGAGTTCGGCCTGTACGCAGATAAACTCCTGAAGAAAACGAAAAGAACCAGACAGCGCGTGGACGCCGGCGAGCCGCGTAACTCTTACTCATCGATACCGAACTTCAGCTCGAGACCGGCTTTTCTCGGCGGCACCGGTCCCAACCTGTACGGCGCCATTTTCAGCCAGCAGCAACAGTTCGGCCTGTTCGGGCCGGGCTTCGCCCCCAAGATGCTCAACGAGCTGTTGGCCAGACAGAAGCCCGAGAACCTCAGCGCCGGCGAGGAGGAGAAGTTTGACCAAGTGATGAACGGGAGTGTGGGCAGCCCTCCAACGGGGGAACAACTTGCGCATCACATGCTCAGGGACATCCTGCAAGGTAGGCGGAACTCGTTTTTACGCGCCGAACAGTGGTTTAGTGTTAGTGATCTTGGTGTGGACGTGGCAGGCGGTCTGGACGCTGGACGTACAGGTAATTTTGTTCGATTCAGTAACAACAACAGCTTGCCTCATTTATTCTTAGAAAGGTCCCGCCTTTTTCAAGATAGCTCTTTAGCAATATCTGCCATACACATATGAGATATTGACTCTTTTCTAAAGAAACTAGAAGAGGGTAGAGTGGGCAGAAACCTTTCTATCGTTGATGCTTACTAATCTACAAGTACCAAATTGTTTTTTAAAAGCTCCAGCTCATTGTTTATCAATCTCCAGCTTTCTCGGGGGAAAACCAGCTTTAAAGCAAAGTCTACTAGAAGTACCAAGTAGCTTATACTTATGCACATATGAGAGCGTGACTTTTTCCTAAGGAAACTAGAAGGTAAAATGGAGAGAAAGCTTTCGCAAAATCGTGCTATAAAGCTTGATGCCAACTCGTAGAAGATCACTTACTATTTACTAATCTGAATGTACCACATTGTTTTTAAAATGCTTGAACTCTTTGCTAATCAAGCTTACACTTTTCTCCGTTAAGCTCAAAAACACTTCTATATGCCGTACCATACCAAATGACTGCCATAACATCCTAAGAAAGCTCTCTATAACGTTCGTTCCCAAGATCATACAGCATTTGCTAATCCAAACGTACCAAATCATGTCTCAACTGTTTGTGCTTTCTCTTGATAAAGTTTTGATTCCGTGGCAGTAGCGATAGATTTCGCGTTACTATCTCTATACAACTCAAGAAGCTTTACACAATGTCAATAAATAATAACTTGAGCCTTCTTAGATAGGCAGTAGTCACACAAACAAAACATAAAGCATCTTTCTTAAGAAAGCGTTTGTCATATTCAGCGATAAAGCTTTATTTTTTCATCCATACTTTTGGTAATAAAGACGTAACAGAAGCCGTGAATAAAGGCTGACAAAGCTTAGAGAGTGCCAAAGTTTAATGCAAATACAACCGATTATTTTTAAAGTGATTGCTCCTCATTCAGAGAAAGCTTAGGCTTCCATTAAGATATCTGTGAGGTTGAAGAGAAAGCTTTGATAAATAGAAGTAGCGACAGCTTTCATGAAAATATTTTTATGAACTGGAGCTTCTCTTAAGAAAAGTTCTTTTAATATCGAATAATGGTGAAAGCGCAGAGAACAAAATTGTTATTTTCTTATAGTAGCTAGAAGGGAAATGGATGAAATCGTGGATATTGGGAATTCTTTGGAGAAATAAAAAGCTTTTTACAAAAAAACTAGGAAGTATCTATATAGAGAAAGCTTCATTAAATCATTTTGCTGAAACATACAGCATTTTTTCTACAATTCTTTTGTAGTATATTGCCTTGGAGATCTTATAATACCTTAAAAAAATAAAAAAGTTTCTTGAAAATGTCCCCATCTAGACAATTCGCGAAAAAGCTCATAGAATATTTGGTGATGCTGAAAAGCATGCTTACTAAATGATTTATGTAAAGCATTATCTTTTCATAAAAAGCTTTAAACTATCTTTGCAATTTATTTATTCTTCTTGACCAATAATTGGTGAATGTGCAACTTATAAAATAATTTCTACAAAGTTTCATCGTATCCTAAGGAAACTTAAGTTTACAGGATGATAGTGACAACTTTCTAACAAAGTCAAACTACAATAGATAGCTAGAGCGCTAAAAACTCGATCATTTCTCGAGAAAGCTCGGGCACTAGTTGATAATGGTGAAAGTGCAAGCCAAACTAGGGATTGCTAATAAAGCCTGTTCTTTCATAAGCAACCTGCGACTGCCGAGAAATCGACTCTAAAGAGCTTAAAAATTGAAGCAGCATTTGCTGACAGTTTAGTTCACCTTTCTATATGAAACTCGGTATAGAATTTAATCTTCTAGAAACCAAACCTTTCCTAAAACTGATTTTTCAGAATACAGTGCGGAAGCTTAACCTTTTCCTAAGACGCTACTTTATAAATAAGCATATAGGTATTATTTGACAAGAATAACTGAGCAACAACTGGATTACTATCTCCGAAACCACAATTATCTGTCGTTTATCACCCTGTTGTAAATCATTCATTGTTTAACTTTCAATATCTCAAACTACTTGTATATGAATACATAGCGAATAATGTTGTCACTTTCTGTTTAAATCTCCAATAACGCTGTCACTCAACGATAATCTTGAATTTAACACTGTGATTGTATATTTATAATGTTCCGGATATACATTCTAGATATTCCGATTCAAATTTTCTGTAGAATTTGTATTTCATCACGACTCGGAAGCTGAAAAATATTGGCGCTTTAGAGTTCAGATATTGTTTATTAAAAATATGGTTTCGGTGTCCAAATCATTTCACACGTCAAAAAAGAAGAATATATATTTAAATGGAAATAGAATGACCCTAATTTAAAATTAAATATATAATGAAATAATAAACATTAGATACTTTTTTTAAAAAAGAAAGGACATCAATCAGCAAAAATAAAGCCTCTTTCTTGAATCGAAGAGGAATATATTTAGGCACTTCATTGTATGCATTGAAATCTTTAAAATGTAGTGAATTCATAGAGCACATTCTTTCAGGTTCATGTTTTGTCTGGTTGGAAAAAGGTGGACATCAAAGGCATAGTTAGTACCTGATAACCACTCCTCAGACTATATGAAAGATAAATACCATTGTCAGATAGCACTTTCTGTAACGTATTCAGTAATGCGTTTACATCTGTCGAACGATTACACCTCAATATAACTCTCATTGCACGAGTTTGTAGTTTTTGCAGCTGAGCTAACTGAGTTATATTTAATAAGTAATTAAGTGTTAGCTGTTAGCTTTGTCTAAAATGGAAGTACAGTACTCTAGTATCGTTATCTACAACCAGACCGAAAGATGAACTCTTACTGCGCACTTTTATGTCCTAGGACTGCAAGCGCCGGCTCTCGATGATATAGTACGGTCATTTTATTCATTTTTACACTCAAAGGTTGAATTAAGCATTTTACAACCTACAATTAGTTAACTAGAATTTTGAACATCGGGCGTGATAGCGTTTGTATCTCTTCGGCTCTAATTCCATGTACAGGCCACAAATGGTCACTTTACGCCCTATAATTTTTAAATGAATCTCGGATGGGAAATTTTTTATCAAGATTCGTATAAGTCTTCTTTTTTACACCGAAAGCAGCTTAAAGACGCTTTGTTATTCCGATTTTTGAACTGCCTAAGGTAGTAGATCTTGGAAAAGCCTACCTAGCGTAGATTGCTTCACAATCTGGACACATTAGGAACAAAGGAGCGGTCGTAGCGACCAGTTCTGGCACGAAGTTTGACACGGATGGGCTGGTCTATCTAGCAGGCTAATCGCGCGGTAGCATCGTGAAGCAGAGCTCTGAGGGGCAAATCCCATTGACATAGCGGTAGAAGGACGAGTGTTCTCATGTATAACATAAACATAAACGGATATCAATAAATATAACAGGCAATTTTGAATTTCAAGCTGACAGTTTGCTTTTGATCTGACAAGTAATGACAGCGAAACGTTAGCACCATTAACTATTAAGCCGACGATGTTTCTGCTTTTATGCACCGCGTGCAATCGGTTTACTTCCCCCCACTATGCACTTCACTCCTGGCGAAGAGGCGAAAGTACAGAGTTGTGGGGGTATGTGGGTACACTCCAGGAATATAGCACTATAGGCGTTTACGCATATAGGGAAATATTGACCTTGAGTAGAGTATAGGAGGTTAAATACAGAATATTTCCAAAACATTGTCAGATTCAAATCGTTCTTAGCTTAAGTCGACTAAACTTCTATTATTTTCACGAACATCAAGCACAAATATCTCAGTCCGGAATTCGTGAAAAAGAATTTAGGCAAATGTTGAGATTAGACATGGTTTGCGAGGGTAAATAAATGATTTCATTGGGGCTAGTATAGTTGTACTGATATGATTTCGGTGGTGTTACGTCTTGTAGAACTTGCGATTTTACTGTTTTTTCTCTTAAAACTTCTAGAGGATAGTCTGATAGATTATTTAGAAACAAAAAAGTGTGGATGTAGCACGCTTTTCATGAAAAAAATTCTCCAAAAAATTGTGTTTTAGCTGTTTCCATCATTATTTCCACTGCCATCTATCTGCCATATCACATCTGTGCATGCGTCATATATGAGAGGCGCTTGCCTGCGGTGTTGCCGGATTGGGCTCCGCAGTTAGGGAAAAATATGAAAAGTTGAAAGTTTACATATATATGTATATTAATTAATGAATCACAAAAACGAGCAGCTGAAACAACCTACAGTAGCAAAATAAAAGGCGAAGTATAAATGAAAAAAATAACAGAAGTAAGCTAAAAAATGATAAATTATAAATAATTATAAAAAACAAAAAATAAAAACAGTAGTAAAACAAAAACTGATTCCATGTAATTATAAAAATCAAAAAATAACAAACAGCAGTAAAATAAAAAGCAATTCTAAGTGATTATAAAAACAAAATATAAAAACGGTAGAAAAACAAAAAACAATTCCATGTTGAGTAAAAAGCAATTCTAAGTGACAACACAAAACAAAAAGTAAAAACAATAGTAAAACGAAGAACAATTTCATTCCATCCAAATTGCTTTTTAATTTACTGTTTGTTATTTTTTTTATATAATTAAATGGAATTGTTTTTTGTTTTACTACTGTTTTAAGTTTTTGTCTTTTATAATCATTTAGAATTGCTTTTTATTTTACTGCTGTTTATTATTTTTTGTTTTATACTTAGTAAGAATCACTTTTAATTTTACTACTATTGTTTGTTTCAGTTTTTTTGTTTTTGTTTTTCATTAACATAAATGTAAATAAATTTTCCACTTTTCATATTTTTCTCTAAATACGGAGCCCAATCCGGCAACGCCGCAGGCAAGCGCCTCTCGTATATGACATATCCACAGACGTCAGCGTCATATGGTAGATGGCGTTGGAAATGATGGGGGAAATAACTGCTAAAAAATACAGTGTTCACGATATAAAATAATTTATCAGGCTACCCTATATAAGTTTCAAGTGAAAAAACAGTGAAATCCGAACTTCTACAAGACGCAACTGTACCATGATTTCTCTTGAGCGAATCTCGTTTGAAGTTTGACTAACTTTTCTTGCACCAATGGTCACTTTGATTGTCCACAACTGTTTATGATTTGGATGAACCCGTAATTTGTCTTCTTAGGTTAGGTAATAGATATCTAGTTAAGAACTATTTGGAACTCCTGGTTAGTAAATTAAACGAAGTGTTACGAACATTACAACGTAATTCTTTAAATCAAGAATGTTTTGTATTTGTATACTACGCTTGGCAACATCTCATCGCGGTAGCTTCGATCAGCGATTTCTATTAAAGAAAATTCGATCCCTCTCAAACTCGGGACTTGACTGAAATTAGCGCGCCTGGCATGATAATGCAATGAAACAACAATGAAACAAATATAATACAAGTTTTTATCAAAATTCAATGAATAATTCTTGGCGTTGAATTTTATACGTCACTCGGTACATTACTGAATAAATATAAGTGTCGAAATACGGAAGAACTCTCGGTCTTGTTGCAGGTCGAAAGCACGAGCTCCTAGCCCTGGAGCAGGACATGCGCACCGGGCAGGATCACATAAACAACAACAACAACGAAACCAAGTCCAGTCCTGACGATAGGAACGACGCAGATTCGGTGAAAGACTCTCTCAATGAGGCGGGACCTCAATCGGAACTGATGGAGGAGGCACTTAACGGTATGGAGACCGAGTCACTGCCTTCGCCGAAGGTTGAACCCTCGAGTCCCGCCAAACCGGAGGATGCGAAAAAGGCGCGGGTCGAGAACATTGTGTCCAACATGAGGTCCAGTCCGGCACCGCCGCAGGTCAACGGGTGCAAGAAAAGGAAATTGTATCAACCGCAGCAACACGATATCAAGGCGGAAAGGTAAGTTTGAGGAATAAATCAAATTACAAAGAGAGTTTCTTCAACTAACATTGTGTCAGTGAAAGTCATTCTTTAGGGGCTATCAAAACCCAGCTCCTATCGTCATCTACTAATAGATGTTGTGGTTTTGTCGGATCAAGAAGATATGCTAAGAGATAATATATGGAGTTAAGCATTGAAAAGGTTGCATAAGTTCCGTGAAGCCTGTCAATTCCAACACAAATAGGCTTCAGAATTGCTAAACAGTCTTCAGCAGATCTTTTCGGATCAATCTTTGAATCTTTATCTCTTACTATGTCATCGATTTCACATATCATCACAAGTTTTTTTGTGTCGCAAAGCAGAATTTCTTATTATAGTTGAAGTCATCGTTCTTGGCGGGTCACAGTATGAATAGCAATATCCCCCAATATTTCATACACATGCCACTTACCCCTGTATGTGAACGTTTGTTCGTTAAGTTCAAAGACATACGTGTTTTAGTTGTGCGTCTCCATCTGGAAAACTTTGTCGTTACGTCATATTTGTGTGTGACATCGGCGTGCAATTTGAGTTGTCTTGTTATCAACCTTCAATATAAAATTGTACACGGCCCGAAAATACGACCAATGGAGAAGACCGACAGCTCGTTCTAAATTTATATATACTAAGTGACATATAAATCCGAACACCCAGTTTAAATGGTTTTATTTTAATAAAAGTTGGTGAATGTATTTTTATTTATCAGTTGGACATTCCGGTTTTTATACTGTTTTTTTTTTCTTAATTCACTAACGCTCTAAAAATGAATATTTCAGCCGCAGTAAAGGACCATCGTTGGCGGATTTTGGTTCTTGACATCCTTTACGATCGGTTACGATGCCTAGAGTACGGAGACCTGTACGATGTCGTCAACTTAGTGAGTTTGATACGGGCCGTATAGTGGGACTTCGGGAAGCTGGACTTTCTTTTCGGGCAATTGCAGTTAGAGTGCAAAGAACTGTAGACACTGTGGTTAGGTGTTGTCAGGCATGGCTTCGAGAAGGCCGTACGCAAAGAGCAAGGGGCACTGGACGCCGCCGTAGAACAACAGACCGTGAAGATCGCCGCCTGAGATTATTGGCCTTAAGGGATCGTTTCTCCACTACCAGGTCCATTGCAAATGAATGGTTTGCAGAACACGGAAGACCTATTGGCATGCGAAGTGTTTACCGACGAATGAGAAGTTTTGGCTTGTTTTCATACCGGCCACACTGGGCTCAAGAACACCGACGTAATCGCCTTGAGTGGTGCAGACAACGGTCACTCTGGGATCAGGAATGGAACAGTATTGTCTTTAGTGACGAGTCTCCATTTTGTTTAGGCATGCACGATGGTCGTGCCAGGGTTAGAAGGCGACGTGGTGAAAAGAGGAATCCACAGTTTTTTGTTGAAAGACATGTTCATCACACTGTTGGAGTTATGGTTTGGGATGCTATAGCTTATGGTTCCAGGTCACCTTTAATCTTCATCAGAGGTAACATGATTGCGCAACGTTATATCCGCGAAGTTCTAGAACCCTGTCTTGGCACCCTGTCAGATGCAACTTTCCAACAAGATAATGCCTGACCACATGTTGCAAGAGTCACAATAGACTTCTTTCAACATAATGATGTCACATTGTTACCATGGCCAGCAAGATCTCCCGACTTATCCCCAATTGAGCACGTGTGGGATATGATGGGTAGGAGATTGCTCAATTTGCAACGTCCTCCTCAGACTCTAGAAGCACTTCGAGAGGAGATGGTGGTTGCCTGGGAGATACCACAGGAGGACATTGACCACCTGATCAGAAGCATGCCTAGGCGCGTTGGAGAATGCGTAGCACATCAGGGTGCATCCACACATTATTAAAGGTCAAAGGGCTTTAAAGCAGTGCAATCATTTTGAAATTTTTATCATTTACTTATTATACTTCATTAAGTACTTATACCAAATTTTATTAAAATAAAACCATTTAAACTGGGTGTTCGGATTTATATATATATTAAAAAAATAAAAACGTCTGTTTACTTATTTCATGAGGTTGATGACGTAACCGCCACGAACGGTGACTATAACTATGCAAATCTAGGTAACATTTTTGGGCGAACAGAGAAATTTAATGAAAATAAGTTATTTCAAGGTTCATTTTTGCCAGATTTAAGAAAAAATCAGTACAAATTGATAAAGATCAAAAAAATCAAGATTTAAGCAAAATAATCGGTTTTTTTGATTTTCTCAAAAAGTCGTGATTTTTGGCAAGAATTAGTTGGTATAGTTTCTTTCTTTTTGTCCATCTTCGATAAGATTGAAGCATATGGAGACACACTTACAGTTTAACAATGACTTATTTCGTAAATGTTAAGATGCAACGAACCATGTATGAGTTATGTGTGGACGAAAAGTAGCAACCTTGAAATTTCTTATTGAAAATTATTTGTTCAACTGTTTCGGGTAACGTGAGCGATTTTAAAATGCAAATTTCCGATGACACGTTAGCGCATTTCGAAAGTTGCTTGGCGAATTATTCAGGTTTCCAGTCCTTTTCATCTTATCCATGTAGAAATAGCTCCAAAGGAAAAAAGTCTATAGGTGTCGAATCACATGATCTAGGCGACCAACTTATCGGAACTAAACGAGAGATTGACCGAATTGTTGACACAGGAAAGCCATGGTTTGAGCCTTGTTGTTGAAAGCAATGCTCTGAAGACCATGAGATGGAGTTCCTTGCAGCGACGTCATAACAGTCATTAAGCACCAGTCAAAATGTTAAAATGCTCGGATGAGTCATCCGTAATTGGAATTCCAAGGTGGACCATAACTTACTAACTATTAACAATAAAACAAATTACCTTCAAAAAATTACTGTCAAGAATGCTTCTATTCCTCGATGACAAATGTAACTGAAAAAAGTTGATTGCTTTTATATTCATCTTTTGAAGAAAGCATGTCTAAATCAATCACCGACTTCCATGAACGCCTGTCAGGTTTTGTCCCCGCCCCCGGGGACCAAGGCGCCTTCCCAATTGGATGAAATTCTGCCATATTTTCGACAATAAAATATTGTATGAAAATCTTGAACCATTAAAACATATGGGAAGGAAATTGTTTCCTGAAAAATCGGCATCTACTTTACTTGGACTTTTTAACTGCTACCTGAATAACGTCCTGAAAAATTGTTATCTATCCCCCGGACAAACAAGGTCAAAGTCTAGATATTTCTTGTTATGTGGTTTGTCCATATATTAATCTTATCTGACATCTATCAACGCAAAACGTTTGCAGATAATGCGGAATACCTGTGTAAGGTCTAAGAAAGTTCGATCATGAATGGCTGCGTTCAAAACCTTTTCAAATACTTCATTCTAAGCTTTACTCACCGGATCGTACTGACATCGTTCCCTCAATACCGCTGCTGTAAGCTTGCGCATAATCTTCGTAACCAAAAATTGCACAACAGGCCTTTTACTTACAATACCATTTTATCTTACAATAGCTCAGGCCCGTATCGCCAGTCGTTCCTACAATTGTAGGGCGCGTTTATGGCCTCCTTGATTGTCATACTCCTTTCTCTCCTTCAAAAATTTCTAGATTACACTTGTCCCGTGTCAGCGTCAGCGCTCTCCTATTGTGAAGATATGTTTTCTTTGTAAATTGTAGGAAATTTCAGGCTGATGTAACTCAAAAGCAATCTCAATCAGATGCAAATAGATGTTTGTGACATAACCTTAAAATAGAGCGCTGACACGGAGAAGTAGAAAACTATCTCAATCAAGGAGGCCATCAAGGCGCCCTACAATTGTAGGGACGATAGACGATACGGGCCTTAGGCCAGTATCTGAAGACTATCCTGTATTCTCGCAGAAGTTTTTTCGTTTTCATATTTTGTACAGGGTGTCCGCAAAGTTGGGGTTTTCCTTTTCAGAAACAACTACCCTTGAAATAACAAAGGTAATGTGTAGTGAAACGAGGGCGACCAAGTAAAAAAAATAAAGGAAAAAGTACTCACACTCCAGTTGACGAGAAGGGCTAAGTACGTCTCTGCCCGAAATCATACCGCTCCAACAGAAAATGAAATCAGCTGACGCGCTACCGAGCAGACGCAGAAACCACATTGATTGTCTTACACGTAATGGCACATCTTCTAACAAGGAAGGCAAAATGTTGCGTAAAAAGTCTAGGTATTGCATCCCGTCCAATCGATTTGGGAGAATAAATGGTCCAATGAGCATACCGTTCACCATGCCAGCCCAAACAGTCACCGAAAGTGTTTGTTGAAAATATGCCCGACGGACAGCGTGCGGATTTTCTACTGACCAAACATGAGTGTTGCGAAAGTTATTCACCCCATTACGCGTGAACGTAGATTCGTCTGTCACCAATATGCACTTCAAAAAGTCCGGATTATTGTCATGTTGATGCAACAACCACTCACAAAACCGCACTCTTGCTGGAAAATCGTCAGGTTGAAGGGCTTGTACACGTTGGACGTGAAACGGATACAGCCCCTCTTCACGCAGCGTTTGCCACACTTTAGTTTTTGATACTTGTACTTCTCTAGCCACGTCTCTAGTGCTTGTTGAGCGATTCTCGCCTACGCGATTACCCCTACACGCGTGACCGTAACCGTCGGTTGAAGGTTGCATACTGACCTGACACACTGACCCCGACCCCGTTCTGTCGTCGGGTTGAGCCAGTGACGTTGTACCAGTCGGTGATGTCGCGGCTACAGGGCGGCATTCAGATATTTTTGTCTCGGTTCCCTTAAGACATTGGTGTACATGGTACTAAGAAAAATTGCTTATGTTTTCAAGATCTACACGTCGTGTAAAGGAAAACCCCAACTTTGCGGACACCCTGTATTTTTGATCAGAGTTTCTCCATAACCATTGTGACTTCTTTTTACAGCTTAATTTTGTTCTATATATTTTTTTTTTCGTTACTTTTGCCCCATGTTTTGGCCAATAAAGACGATTATTATTATTGAATGTACATTTTCAAAATTTGTTCCAGGTATATGGACGAGGAAGAAGAAGAGATCGAACCGATCCGACAGAAACGAGTAGAGAAATCCATGCTAAAATCCCAACTCAGGTCAATGCAAGAACAACTCGCCGAGATGCAACAAAAATACATGCAGCTATGCACCCGAGTCGAACAAGGCTCGGAAGAGTCGCAGGAAATCGAGGAAATCCCGAGTGACAGCGAACAGAGCACCAAACGATCGGCACCACCCTCGCCTGCGGCTACAAGCACACCGACTCCAGTACCCCAACCACCGACAATATCCCAGGAAGTGAGCAAACTGAAAACGAGTCCGCCAGGACCGCCGTTTCACAACGGGTTCCTCCACAACCCGCACCAACACATGAGCAACGCCGCCGCGATGTACCTGGGCGTGAGCCACAAACTCCTGATGGAACAGGAGGCCAGGATGGCCAAGGAAGCGGCCGCCGCAGCTTCAGAACAGCAGCAACAGCAACAGCAATTACCTCCGAAAGCAGACCAAATCACCGAACGACTGAACATGATGCGGAGCATCAATCCCACGGGTAGCGATCTAGAAGGGCTCGCGGATGCTTTGAAGACCGAGATTACGGCGAGCTTGTCCAATTTGATCGACTCGATACTCCATCGATTCGTGCATCAAAAAAGGTATACGATACTCTCTAGATACAGCTAAGTCATCATTTACAAACGCATTCTCCTGTAGCGGTGTGTCAGTGACGACACCGCTTCAGATTCACCACTTGGAGTTTGTTGTTAGATATAAAACTGATATGTCAACAGTGGTATTATAATATCCTATTTCGTTGCAGGTGTAAGCAGCAAGACGCGGCGACCGCAGCTGAGCAGCTCAACAAAGACCTCCTGATGGCGTCGCAGCTCTTGGACAGGAAATCGCCCAGGACGAAAGTGGCGGAACGGCCGCAAGGTCCGCAACCGATGCACAACCATCAAAACCAAATGGTAAACGGGAACGGACCGATGATGCCGGTACACAGTATGCAGAAACCGTCAGATCTGCACGTCAGACCTCCGATGTTTCAGACTCCGAAACCGCCCGGGATCAGTGCTCCGCTCTACGGAATGAACCATCCGTTTTGCGTTTCGAAACAAGACACTCCTGAGCAGAACGAGGCGTTGAGTTTGGTTGTGGCGCCGAAGAAGAAGAGGCATAAGGTGACAGATACTAGGATCACCCCTAGAACGGTGAGTAGGAGCTTAAAAATAAATAAAATATTATATATATTTCACCAAAACAAGTATGAGATGAGTTGAAGACCGATAAACCTCACAACGGCCCTACACTTCGTTATTTGATGTTTTTTTGACTATTTGCTGATTTAAGAGCGCAGTCAAAAAAAAATTTTTGCAGGTTAGAATTTAAAGAAAAGTTAACCTTAATTTTTTTATGTTTTTCAACTTTCCGGTCACTTTAGCAGCGGACGGAATTTTTGAGAAATTCAAACTTCATTTTTCGTTGTTTCCCGGCCTTTTGTGCAGTGTAGGATGCGGCCAAAAAAATTCTAGAATGAGCCGAATTTAAAAAAAAATCGAATTTAAAAAATATATCGGAAAGGGTAAAATTTTCAAAAAATTTGGTTTCCATTTTTTGACGTTTTTTAACCTTCTGGACACGCTGAGACGTACTAAAAAATTTATAAAAGTAAAATCTTGGTTTTCGACGTTCTTCACCATTTTGTACATTTTTTTGGTGGTGACAATATTTTAAAAATGGTAAATCTTTGTTTTTTGACGTTCCTCGACATTCTGGACACTTTAGTTAGTAGTCAAAAAAATTTTGGAGAGGGACAAATTTTCAAGAAATTCAAATCTGCCTTTTTCGAAGTTCTTCAGCCTACAAGCTATTTTAAAGCATAGTCAGAAATATTTTTCGGAAAAGGCAAAGATTTAGTCTTTAGAATAATTCTGGAAGTGGTACAACTTTCAAAAAAATTGATCTTCGTTTTCGACGTTCTTCTGGACATTTTTTTGGTGGTGACAAAGTTTAAAAAAAGTTAAATCATTATTTTTTGACGTTTTTCGACTTACAGGACACTTTAGTGCGTAGTCAAAAAAATTTTGGAGGGAGGCAAATTTTCGAGGAATTCAAATCTTCCTTTTCGACGTTTTGCAGCTTACAAGATATTTTTAAGCGTATTCAGAATTTTTTTTTGAAAAAGCAGAGATTTCAAAAAATTTGAATCTTCAAAAAATTCTGAAAGTGGTACAATTTTCAAAAAAATCTTCGTTTTTTGGCATTCTTCAACCTTGTGGACATTTTGTACTCAAAATGTTTTTGGTGGTGACACTTTTAAAAATTTTAAACTTCGTTCTTCAACCTTCTGGATACTTTAGGGCGTAGCCAAAAAAAATTTTCAAGAAATTCAAATATTCGTTTTTCTACGTTCTACAACCTTCTAGATAGTTTAGAGCGTAGTCAGAAAAAATTTTGGAGAAGGCAAACATTTCAACGTGTAGTTCCAAAAATTTCTGATGTATTGAGATTTTCCAAAAATTTAGTCTTCGTTTTTCGACGATCTTCAGCCTTCAGGACATTTTAGGGCGTAGGCAAAAAATTTTTTGGAGGAGGGAAAGATTTCAGAAAATAGTAAATCTTTGTTTTATGACGTTCTTCGACTTTCTAGATAGTTTAGTGCGTAGTCAAAAAAATTTTGGAGGGAGGCAAATTTTCAAGAAATTCAAATCTTCCCTTTTCGACGTTTTTCAGCGTCCAATACATTTTAAGCGTAGTCAAAAATTTATTTTGGAAAAAGCAGAGATTTCAAAAAATTTGAATCTTCAAAAAAAATTTTAAAGTGGTACAATTTTCAAAAAGTCTTCGTTTTTGGCGTTGTTCAACCTTTTGGAAATTTTTGAAGGTACTCTAAAAATGCTTCTGGTAGTGATACTTTTAAAAATTTTAAACTTCGTTCTTCAACCTTCTGGATACTTTAGGGCGTAGCCATAAAAAATTTTCAAGAAATATAAATCTTCGTTTTTCGACGTTCTACAACCTTCTAGATATTTTAGAGCGTAGTCAGAAAAAATTTTGGAGAAGGCAAACATTTCAACGTATTTCCAAAAATTTCTGATGTATTGAGATTTTTCAAAAATTTAGTCTTCGTTTTTCGACGATCTTCAGCCTTCAGGACATTTTAGGGCGTAGGCAAAAAATTTTTTGGAGGAGGGAAAGATTTCAGAAAATAGTAAATCTTTGTTTTATAACGTTCTTCGACTTTCTAGATAGTTTAGTGCGTAGTCAAAAAAATTTTGGAGGGAGGCAAATTTTCAAGAAATTCAAATCTTCCTTTTTCGACGTTTTTCAGCGTCCAATATATTTTAAGCGTAGTCAAAACTTTATTTTGGAAAAAGCAGAGATTTCAAAAAATTTGAATCTTAAAAAAAAATTTTGAAAGTGGTACAATTTTCAAAAAGTCTTCGTTTTTGGCGTTCTTCAACCTTTTGGAAATTTTTGAAGGTACTGGAATGCTTCTGGTGGTGACACTTTTAAAAATTTTAAACTTCGTTCTTCAACCTTCTGGATACTTTAGGGCGTAGCCATAAAAAATATTCAAGAAATTCAAATCTTCGTTTTTCGACGTTCTACAACCTTCTAGATATTTTAGAGCATAGTCAGAAACATTTTTAGAGAAGGCAAAGATTTCAACGTGCATTTCCAAAAATTTGAACCTTCAAAAAAAATGTCTAAAGTATTGAGATTTTCCAAAAATTTAGTCTTCGTTTTTCGACGATCTTCAACCTTCAGGACATTTCAGGACGTAGACAAAAATTTTTTTGGAAGAGGTAGAGATTTCAGAAAATTATGTTCAAAAAAAGTCCGGACACTTCTGGACAGTTTGAAACGTAGTACTCAAAAAATATTTTTGGTGGAGACAGTGTAAAAAAATTTAATCTTCATTCATCTTTGGGACGTAGTAGTCAAAAAAAATGTTGGAGGGGGACAAATTTTCCAGAAATTCAGATCTTAGTTTTAAGACATTTTTAAACCTTCTGGACATCTTAGGGTGTAGTCAAAAAATTTCTTGGAGAGGGCAAAGATTTAAAAAAAATTATCTTCGTTTTTCGACGTTTTTCAACCATCTGGACATTTTAGGGCGTAATTAAAAAAGTTTTGAAGGTGGCCAAATTTTCAAGGAATTGAAATCTTCGTTTTTGGCGTTCTTCAACCTTCTGGACATTTTAGGGCGTAGTTGAAAAAGTTTTTTGGTTGGGTCAAGGATTTCAAAAAGTGTTAATCTCTTTTTTTCGACATTTTTCAACGTTCTGGACATTTTAGGGCGTAGCGAAAAAAACCTGTGGAGGAGGCAAAGATTTAAAACAATTGACACTCCGTTTTTTAACATTTTTGTACATGTTCAAAATACATGCCTGATATTTCACTTATTAACAAAACTCAAAATGTCCGCATAGCTGGAACCGTGAATCTACTTGACTTTCTTGTTCTCAGGTGAGCCGCATCCTGGGTCAAGAAGGCATGGGCATGTCACCTGCACAAGCCGCGGCTGCCCAGGCCCAGATGGAACAACAGCAATCGAACTGCCCATCTCCAAGACCTCCTCCTTACCATCAACCGCCGCCTATGATGCCCGTCTCGCTACCCACCTCGGTCGCTATCCCGAACCCGGGCTTGCACGAGTCCCAGGTGTTCAGCCCCTATAGCCCCTTCTTTCATGGGGCTGGACATGGACACCATATGGCCATGCAAGTAAGTCGACGATATATTTTCCAAGTAGAATAGATTAAATTCAAGATAGTACTTGATTTTTTTTTGGTCAGAGTACTGAGATTACCCGGTGACAAAATCCACAGGTCGGGAATGTTCTTAGCTAGGATATAAAAAATGTCTTCTCCTGTGTGTGTTTAGAATTTAGTGTTGATATTTCACTGCAACGTTGCCATATCTAGTGATCAAGATTCCT